TTATTTGCTGCACTAACAACTGGCCAACTCCCTTTGGGATATTTTACTAATTTTTTTTTTTTAACGTTTATTTATTTTTTGAGACAGAGAGAGACAGAGCATGAATGGGGGAGGGTCAGAGAGAGGGAGACACAGAATCTGAAACAGGCTCCAGGCTCTGAGCTGTCAGCACAGAGCCCGACGCGGGGCTCGAACTCACGGACTGTGAGATCATGACCTGAGCCGAAGTCGGCCGCTTAACCGACTGAGCCACCCAGGCGCCCCTATTTTACTAATTTTAAGAAAGACATGGGGCTAATTTAGAGACAGGTGGCCAGAAAACAGTGAGGAGTCCAGAGACTGTGGCATATGAGGGAAACAGAAGACTTCAGAGAACAAGGTGTTTGTCTTCCAATGCTTGATGAGTTCTCGTCAGAGAGAGGGAATACTGATTTTATTAAGTGATATGCCCATCTATAGGGCTAGGAAAGAAACACGTAAGGAACTTAAGGAAACAGTTCCTAGGGCCTGAAATAGGGTACATGCAAAGAAAGTTGTTCTCTCTCCAAGCTTGAGCAGTGAATCCAGTTAGTTGTCTCCAAAAAGTTGTGCACACACAGGATGTTCCATTGAGGTACAGGTCAGAGGTAAAAACACTGTCACTAAAATCATTAGGAAGAAGTTCATCATTACTGTATGGAATGTGAGGGGGGATCAATAGCATGAACTTCACCTACTTGTTGGTTCTCAGCAAATGACAGTTCACCTGAGCCCAGCTACATCGATTTTCAATTTGCCGAGTTTTGTTTTTTTTTTAAGTTTATTTATGTATTTTGAGAGAGAGAGAGCACGAGTTGGGTAGGGGCAGAGAGAGAGGAAGAGAGGATTCCAAGCAGGCTCCGTGCTGTCAGCAGAGCCCAACACGGGGCTCGACTCACAAACTGTGAGATCGTGACCTGAGCTGAGATCAAGAGTCAGATGCTTAATGAACTGAGCCTCCCAGGCGCCCCACAAATTACCTAGTTTTAAGTAAAATAACCCATGAGGAAATGGACAAGTAGCTTTGAAAGATTCCTGCAATAAACTTAGATTGAAAATCCTACTAAGAACACAAACCAAAGGAACAAATAAGCAAACAAACAAAACATGGTAGAACTGACACTTTTTATTAAGTTGTGTGGTCAAAAAAAAATTTAGAGACCCCTGGCCCAGCTGATCGTCTGTCACTGTTAGAATTGGAGTTAACACTGAACTTTGTAGCGGGGGCCAGCAAGTCCTTGGAAATCCTCTTTCTTTGGCAGTTGACTGTTCTCAGCAGATAGCCCTGCGTTGGGAGAAACCAGTCCTCTTCTGGCCTTCATGACCACTTCAGACCCTCTTCCTCCCTACGGGCATTACAACGCTGTGAATAGGCTGATATTTTAGCAATTATTCCAGTTTCTTTCCCCCCACCCCCCTGAGCCCTGTGGTTAGGCATAGTCTCTTGAACACAGTTCCAGCCCCCACAGAGAAGGTTGTTTCCATCAGTAAACAGACAAATGGATGTAGATAGATTAGAGTTTTTAAATACATAAAATCAGATACAGTTAGCAACCTATTGGAACTCTCAGTATCTTTCCTGGGCAGTCTGTTGGCCAGTCTGTGCTGCTTTATGAGTGGTACCACAAAGCCAAGACTCATCTTTGCCTGATCTAAGAAACCTTATCCTTTTGATCTCTGAAATCAGGATCAGGAAGAAAAGACAATAGTGAATGAACAATAGGAGCCAGGAGGCTTTGTGGATGTCTCCAATGACCAGTTGAAGGAGAGGGGACTTGTGGAGGGATGGTCTCTCTGGCTGTGCTAGAGCTGTGTGGCGTTAGCTTTACTTTAAACTTGAAATTAAGTCTTTGATGGTGGGAGAGGAGGCATTGCTTCCTCAAGGACCCGGAGTTTAAGGAACTTTGGCTTGGACCAACTCTAGAAACAGATTAAAACATTCGAGGAGGACTTGAACTGGAAAAGGGTTGGGTATACGTGACTGCAGAAGGATTCAGGTCCTTCTGAATGGCTGTGAGATGCTCTTCCTCAGGTAAATCTGGACTCAGCTACTGTGCTAAGTGAACCCCGTGGCTTCGCCTGTGCGCATTATTTGTACTGAGGTTTCCCATTGGGAGGTGCAGAGTGGTTCCTGATATTCCTACACTTGGCCTGAGTTTATGCTGTGGACATCCTGCCACTGAGGGTGGCTGAGAGGAGAAAAGAGTGGGAACTTTTACTGGAACAGTAGCCTCTAAGGAGAACCTTCCCTGGGGAGGCAATTCTCAATTATCAGGCCCAGAGGCCACATCTTCCAGACTGATCAAGGAAAAGTTTACCCTCCTTTCTCTTTCTGTGAACCCACCACCTCCCAGTCCATTTTCTGGACAATGATGCCACCTAATGGGAACCAGTAATAACTTTCAGAGCATTTAAGTGAGGATGCCTACCTTTTTAATATAACTCACATTTCTCTGCTTTGTACCTTGCTACCTATTCAGTGCTGTTTGCAAGCTTCTGGTGAGGTCAGGCTCACCAGTACATAGGCAGTCAGGATTTCACAATACTGTTAAGTATTTTTAGATGGCCATAAATACATATATCAAAGAATCATACTGTACACTTCAAATAGATTTCAGTTTTGTCAATTATACCTCAGAAAAGCTGAAAAAAACATTAATTAAAAAAAATTGGTGGGGCACCTGGGTGGCCAGGTCATGATCTCACAGTCTGAGTTCAAGCCCCGCGTTAGGCTCTGTGCTGACAGCTCAGAGCCTGGAGCCTGCTTCGGATTCTGTGTCTCCCTCTCTCTCTGCCTCTCCCCCACTCGTTCTCTCTCTCTCTCTCTCTCTCTCTCTCTCTCTCAAAAATAAACATTCAAAAAATTTTTTAAAAATTGGTACAAATGATGTAAATTAATGTAAATAAAAAACCAGATGTACACAAAGTAGAAATGAATGGAGATATACCAAAATGATAATAGGGGCTGGATTAGGCTAGTGTGGTTGTGTTTTCTAAATGCTTTATAATACAATTTGTGGGGTTTTTTTTTTGATTAATCATAAGTGTACTTTTTTATATAGACAGTAATTACAGTTGGAAAATACAGAAATAGAAACAAGAAAAACAAAATCACCCATAACTCCACCACTCAGACATACCTACTGCTTACATTTTGGTGGGTTTCTTGTCTTTTTTTTTTTTTTTTTTTTTTTTTAACATAGCGTTTATGTATTTTTTTTCTTAATTGTAATCATTCTGTGTGATTCTTTTATCATTTACTATTACTTTAGTAATCATTCTGTTGCTTTTATGATACCAAAAAATCATCCTTTAGACAAAGCTGTTTCCAGGAAACCCTAATGCACCATTTAAATACATTAGGTTCCAAGAAACCTGACCTTAAAATAATTCTTATACTCTTATTTGTGCTGTTTGTTCGTGTACATAGAGATACCTTCAAAAGCCAGTCAGGGAACAGGAAAAAAAGTAAGGAAATGATTTTAGAATTTATAGGTAAAAGTCAACTGAGCCCACTGGGATTGAGAGGTGATAGGAAGTGGTTCCAGATCCACAGCACCTGGTCATGTGCCAGCGCCACCTAGTGGTGTGGGTTATGAACAGTCTGAACTCTCTGCCTCGCATAGGCGGGTCTGGGAGCTGGACTCTCCTGGCTGGGGACCTTGCTTCAGTATTCTGCCTCTTCTCTCTGCTTAGCCTACTGAAAATAGAGCAAGACTACCTGTCAGCACACGGATATATAGACATACGGATCGAGATTTGCATTAGGAGCACCAAATGGGCACTGTGAGAAAGAAAGAAAGGGCTCCCAGAGTCTATGAAATGAAAAATTCAAATGGAAAGACAGCAGTTTGGAAACGTAGCCCTTGGGCTGCCTCCAGATCATCCTCCATATTGCACATCTCTTTTCAGAGCAAATCTCTTCTCCACTTGTATGTAATTCATTTACCTTATTATGCAGGAAAATGTATGTCAGTCCTTTCTGGCAGATATATGTTTGGGCTCTTGGGGAGGCAGGTAGGACCAGAGAAAACACTCTGGTTTGTTAAAGCTCTAAACGGCTGACATGAATCCAGTTCTGCCATTTAGTAGCTCTGTGAACTTGGCTATGGCTAAGCCACTTAATCTTTCTGAGCTGTTTCTTCATCCCTCGAATGGGGTCATCACAGCTTCTTTGCTAGGTTATAAGGAATAGATGTATTGCCTAGCCCTGTGCTTGTAGTGAAGGGCTCAATAAATTGTAGCTCTTTTTTTTTTATATAATAAAACCCTGATTGTTAACTCAGATTGGATTAAAACAATTTAATTCAGTTCACCAATTCTAGGACTTACAGGTTTTTCCCACTTTAAATCTCAGAAATCAGGATGTGTCAGTGGCATGCCAGTGGTTTTTTTCCTTCTTAACAGTTCTATAAAATAATGGTACTTCTTGCATTTGCTGGTGTTTTCAAGGAAATGTGGTAATTAGGTTAGCTGTGTTTGAAGTGCTACAGGGAGACCTGTTTTAAGTGCTCTTGGATTGTGTCTGTAAAGCCTGAACATGACAGCTGATTCCATGAGGTCTCACGGTGACAATTCCCCACTGGTCTGTTTCCCAGCCTCAGACTTGAGCTTGTGAGCTACTATTTCTATGAAATTTATTTGGAAAGGGTGTGTTGAACCTTTTAAACTTCACTGAGATTACACAGAGCACAGATGATAACTCAATCACCTATATATAGCATTTTGTACTGCACAGCATACATGGAGTAAATATATGTTTTTTTAAAGAGTAGGTATGTGGGAAGGTGAGTGTAATCCCTCCTCTAATTCTGTTGGTTCTGTCCCTGCTGTGTAGACTGCTACTTTCTTTCCAGGGCTGTCTGAGGGCTGGATGGGCTATTGCATGGAAAATACCTGGCACATATTGGACACAGTAAATAACAGCGGATTGTATTCTCTGTCTCCTTGGTAACTATGCCTAGTTTTTTTCTCTGTTTCAGTCTAATAAAGTTCCTGTTGTTCAGCCCCCGCATCACATGCACCCGTTGACGCCCCTCATCACCTACAGCAACGACCACTTCTCCCCTGGCTCCCCTCCCACACATCTCTCCCCAGAGATTGATCCAAAGACAGGTGAGTCATCTGCCGCCCAGGCTGGCCCCTGTGCAGAGAGCTCCAGTGGGGCAGGCTTGTCTTCTCAGGGAACATAATGACCCTGGAATCGGCAGCCCTGGGTTCAGGTCATGTCTTCAACTCCCAAGAGCCCATAACCCTGCCTACTGACATTAGCCCTTTCAGTGTTTTCATCCACACCTCCTGTGTCCCTTCCGCATCATCGAGGCATTGTGAGGATTAAAGGAAATTCTATGAGGCAGTGTCAGGGCCTGGCTCCACAGTAAGGAGATGGCACTCTTCTGCCATAGATTCTTTACTTTATTTAGACTCTCTTAATACTTTGGGGTGCAATGAGCTGGAAGTGGGGGTGGGTGGGAATCTTTTTCACTGACCTTGAACTCTAGCCCAGCTGGAGGCTGTGCCTTCCTAAACCAAGACCTTTGCCTTACACTGAACATTTTCAAATAGAGTTACCAATCTAGCCAGACTTCTAAGTATAGCTTTAAAGAGGTAAGGCCGAGCTGGATTTTTCTTTTCTTTTTTCTTTTCTTTTCTTCTCTTTTTTTTGAATTGCTCACCAGAACTGACCATCTTAGGGAAACATAGCTTCATCAAATTCCCAGAGTTGCAGTGGCTCAAAGTATTTTTGGAACCCCCCTTTAAGGAAATCAAAGTTACTGTAAGTTACAAATAATGAGGAGGACAAAAGTGGAATAGAAATCCAAAGTTTACTTCTCCATGAATGAGGCAGGTTTTCTAAAGGGGTAGTTAGCTGATGACTCCGGAGAATGTCTTGGGTCTCTCAGTCCAAGATTTCTGGCCCCTTTCTTGGATGACTCCTATGTAAGCAGCTGGAAATTACTCCTGCTGATAGGTGGGATCCATGTAGCCAGAGAGAGCTGGCTGTGTTTGTCCTGCCTTCCTTGAATATGTCCTTGACTCACCAGCCAGCAGAGCTGGAGAGATGACAGAAGGCAAGGACAATGAAAGGCCTTCCGTGCTCCAGCACACTTGGGGACATGGGGCAAGGGACTTCCCATTTGGTGTTATTTTAAGGTGCTTTGGTAGGGCCAGGGAACAGTCTGACACATGTCTCTTTGAAGCAGGAATCCCCCGGCCCCCTCACCCATCTGAGCTGTCTCCATATTACCCACTGTCTCCTGGAGCTGTCGGACAAATCCCTCATCCTCTCGGCTGGCTCGTCCCGCAGTAAGGAAACTAGCAGACTTTCTTACCCTCCTTCTTCCTCATGCTGTGCTCGGCCTCCTGTACCTCCAGCGTGCTCTGGGATCTGTGTGCAGCACCCCCACCTCCCACAGTGGAGCTCTCTCATCAAAGCCCACAGCTCAGACCTCCCTTCTCTCCCTTGGGCAGCTAGCTCCCCACTCTTACTTCCTACTTCCTGCCCTCTGTCTTTCATCCTTTCTTCCAGCCCCCTCTCCTTCCCTGTCCTGAACAGTCCCATTGTAACCAGTATGCTGACCAGATTTCCGTGCTCCCGGCCCTTATAGGCAAGGACAGCCCATGTACTCCCTTCCTCCTGGTGGCTTCCGGCACCCCTACCCTGCCCTCGCCATGAACGCCTCAATGTCCAGGTGAGTCCCGGGACTGGGGGCTGTGAGCATGAAGTTCCCTTGCAGTGAATGGTCCTCTACTCGTGTCCTTGTCATTTGTGACCATGAAAAGCTTTCTCTTGGCCCTAAACTGGGAGGCACGGGCTCACCTTTTCTCCCCACCCCTCTTTGCTGAGGCGCCTCCTCGCACATACTGTATGGTCGGAATGGAGACCACAGACTCGGCTCGTTCTTTGCCCATCTCTCTAAGGGAAGAATTTCAAAGCCCTAGTACTCAGCATCCCCACACGTCCCCCCACCTGCTGGGCTTTGTGGCACTGAAGCCAGAGACTGGAGATGATTAGTGTTTCCTGAAGTGATGTCAGGAGAGGGAACAGCAAAGGGGGCTCCTGTCCCAGGGGCCAGATCTACCTGACAATGGTACCTGTGGTCACAAAGGAAGTGGAACCCACGGCATATGGTGTGGTTCCCCATTGCGGACACTGGCCTCTGACCCGCCACACCTTCTTTTGGATTTTCATCCTACCTGCATCCAGTACGAAATACAGGAGTCCTGTGCGTTTGTGTGGGAAGGGGAGGTTTGTTGGGTGTTTCCCAAACCTGGTTCTGTCGAGGTCAGTGAATGGGCTTCCATTCCTCAAAGTCTGCCGTGGCAGAGGTATTTACCGAGCTCTGCCATAAAGGCAGGCAGCCACCAGGTCCTCTGCCGGGTGACAAGCATTCAGCCTGAACCCTCGTGTTGTCCACTTGTCTCCCCCCTGATACACAGCCTGGTTTCCAGTCGGTTCTCTCCTCACATGGTGGCTCCGGCCCATCCTGGTCTGCCCACCTCAGGGATTCCCCACCCCGCCATCGTCTCCCCCATTGTCAAGCAGGAGCCAGCACCCTCCAGCCTGAGCCCCGCCGTGAGCGCGTGAGTATCAGGCAGCCTGGATGGGATGGTGGCCAGTCTCCAAGCGGCAGATGCCATTTATTTTTCTCCCTGGTGGCATTTAGCAGGCAGCCAGCAGCCTCCCTCAGCCATACCCTTTCTCCTAGGAATTGCTCCCTTTGACTCTCTGTGTCCCCACCCTCTCAGACATCTTTTCTCACAGTGAGGAGAGTTTTACAGACAGGATTTAGAGGCTGAAAGAGGACCTGAGAATGCTTTTGGCTTCCTTCCCCCTCTCCCTTATGCATGAAAACATGAGCCCTTAAGGGAGGATTTTCTCCAGGTCCATAGCTGACCGGTAGCGGAGTTGAGACTACCAGCAAGGCCTGTGCTGTGTCCACTGAGCCATGAAGACAGCAGGAAAGCCAAAGTCCACGCCTCATGGCGGGGAGACTCCCTCTTGCTTCTGCCCAAAGCGCCCTGCCCCCTTTCCTCTCTATCACCTGTGACAGGGGGCTCTCACCAGCTCCTCTGCTCCTTCAGGAGCCTTTCATAGACTATGGCCTGAGGTCATCCCAAGGCTGAGGGCTGCTTGTGGAAGACACTCGGGGGCTGTAAGCAGCCGTGGCAACTTGAATGGATGACAGCCGGTCATCCCTCCTCCCCGCGGGCACTCGTGAGGGGCATGGATTGCGGGTCAGGTGACAGGGTGACCACTGACTCTTGCTAACCGACAGCTTTGTGACTCCCCAGGAAATCACCAGTCACGGTGAAAAAGGAAGAAGAAAAGAAACCCCACGTGAAGAAGCCTCTTAATGCCTTCATGTTATATATGAAGGAGATGAGGGCCAAGGTGGTGGCCGAGTGCACCCTGAAGGAGAGCGCGGCCATTAACCAAATCCTGGGAAGAAAGGTAGGATCCGCTGTTTCCCTCCAGGCTGTGCGGGTCAGCGACCCCCGCATTCCTGCTCCCCGTCATCTCTGACCCTCTCTCCGCAGTGGCACAACTTGTCCCGAGAAGAACAGGCCAAGTACTATGAACTGGCCCGGAAGGAGCGGCAACTTCACTCCCAGCTCTACCCGACCTGGTCAGCCCGGGACAACTACGTACGTGTCCCCTCGGGCCCCGACGGCAGCGTCTGCGAGAGGAAGCGGGGAGGGGGACGTGGCTGCATTTATAGAGGACACTTAAGGCCAGGGAGAGGCTCTATTGCTCTAGAAATAAGGAAGGCATTTTAATTCTCAGGAGGTCAACAAGCACATGGTGTTGACATCCTATGGACCGAGGTAAATCTGTACCCTCTCATTTGAGGTGGATTCAGCCTTCGAGTCCATAAGTCAAGGTGCAGTGCGAGCTATGTTCTGGCTCTGGTGGCAAGGGTGTCACCAGCCAAGGGTTCTGAACCTGGGGCTTGGAGAACAATGTATGAGCCTCAGCTGGCATTTTTTTCTAATGTTTATTTTTAAAAGAGAGAGTACAAGCAGGGGACGGGCAGAGAGAGAGGGAGACAGAATCCAAAGCAGGCTCTGCTCTGTCAGCCCAAAGCCCGACATGGGCCTCGAACCCATGAGCCATGAGATCATGACCTGAGCCAAAGTTGAACGCTCAACCGACTGAGCCACCTCAGCTGGCATTTCTAATAACTCTTCGAAACAAGACAGATTTTGTATGTCTGTTCTTATTTGCTTTTTTTTTTTCTTTCTGGTGAGAGGCCTCAGAACTGCCTTAGATTTTCAGTGGGGCCTGAGTCCCCTCAAAAAAGATCGAGAATCACACTGGAGCAGTGCCCAAGGGCACTGAAGGGTGAGGCCTTCCAAGGAGGCCAGGACACTGGGTTGGAGGGGGAAGAATCGAATGGGGAAGGGAAGGCACCTTCCAGGAAGGCTCCTCAGAGGCTTCTGTGGAGAGTGTGACCTGAGTGACTCCCCTCCACCCCCAGCTTCTCACCCAGGGTCAAGGGCAGTATGGGCAGTATGTTCTGTCCCCCTAAAGAGCTGTCCCTGGTTACCCCTTTCTTTGGCCATAATTTTCAGGGTAAGAAAAAGAAGAGGAAGAGAGAAAAGCAGCTGTCACAGACACAGTCCCAGCAGCAAGTCCAAGAGGCAGAGGGTGAGTCCTAAGGAGGGCGCTGGCTCTTCTTCCCGCCGTCACACTCGCGCTTGCCTGTGGGTTGTTCCTGGCTCTCTGAAGGGTACAGCGACAGCGCTGTTTCATAATAGCTGCCATTTTCAGGGCCTCTGCCTCTTGGGAGCCTCTTGCATACCCAGGTGAGTGTTCTTATTATCCCCTTTTTAGAGATGGCAGATTAAGAGGCTCAGAGAAGTTGGATCTTCCCAGTCATTCCGCTTGTTAAATGGCGGAGGCAGGATTTGATCCCAGCACTCTCCCACTTCAAAGCCTAGGCATTCAGTTCAGCTGAGTTGCATCTTATTTGAGGGTTCTCAAATAAATGTATAAGGTAAAAATTGGAGATATTTGAAATGACCTCTGGAATTCAGTCGGGAAGGGGGCGCAGCAGAGACCGACATGCCACCTATTTGTGAATCCAATAGAAGCAGGTTTCCTGCAAGGTTTGGTTGGTCGAACCCCGAAAGAGTTTGCTTGGTATGGGGACCGCTTTGTGCCAAAATGATGTGCTCTGTCTTTTCACACTGCGGCCACACCTGGCACGGAGATGCTCATGCGGTGACAGGCGTTTAGGTCATGCCCCTCACTTTGTGCCCCCACCTCATGCACACCTCTGGACGAGTGTAGAGCAGCTGGTACCAACATGCTGTTACTCTCTTCTTCCTCCCTTTCTCTTTCTTTTCTTTCGTCTATATAATTTGTACATTCGTTTACGTACGAGGACACATAAGTAAAGTGTGTACGTGCTGCCCAACCCACCGTATACCTCCCTGGTTAGCAGGTGCTGTGCCCTCTCTGATAGCACCCTAAGGCAGAGATTTTAAGGCACATTGAATGGAGATCTGTCTCCCGCAGTGGTAAGATTTAGGCAAGGAAGGTGACGGTGCGATAGACCGAGCTGTTTTCCCTGCTATCAGATGCTGAATAGGTCTTTGTCACTTTGACGTTGCCCCTTCTCCGTGCTCTAGGTGTCCCTGAATGCAGCTTCCTGGTCTTGAAAGCCTCAGATGTAATTTCAGGCCCTCCCTCCCCTCCCACTGAGCATCCTTGTGTTCTGCCTCACCCACAGCCACTAGCTGCTCAGCCTTTCGTGTATCTTTTTTCCCCCGTAGGTGCTCTGGCCTCCAAGAGCAAGAAGCCATGTGTTCAGTACCTGCCCCCCGAGAAGTCGTGTGACAGCCCTGCCTCTTCCCACGGCAGCATGCTCGACTCCCCGGCCACCCCCTCCGCGGCCTTGGCGTCGCCTGCTGCCCCTGCTGCAACCCACTCGGAGCAAGCCCAGCCCCTCTCCCTCACCACCAAGCCGGAGAGCCGGGCCCAGCTGGCTCTACACTCGGCCGCCTTCCTGTCCGCTAAGGCGACAGCCACCTCCTCTGGCCAGATGGGCAGCCAGCCCCCACTCCTCTCCCGGCCCCTCCCCCTCGGGTCCCTGCCCACAGCTCTGCTGACTTCCCCCCCCTCCTTCCCCACCACGCTCCATGCCCACCAGGCCCTCCCGGTCCTCCAGGCCCAGCCTCTTTCCTTGGTTACCAAGTCTGCCCACTGAGCTGCCCCCTGACCTATGCAGGCTGTCAAGTGACTCGTCAAGTAGTAATGATTCAGAAGAAACAACGGGGGAAAAAAAAAAAAAAGGAAACTTTATTGGTCAATATTTGACCACTCTGGACTGTTCTGTAAAGTGACTGGTAACAACAGCACTTTACGTTTTGTAGATGTAACCAGTAGCTGATCTTGAGGCTTTTTTAAAAAACAAAACAAAACAAAACAAAAAAAAAAAATCTTTAAAAGAAAGAGAACTGAAAAGTAGCGTGTTATTCTTCCTGTATGTGCAGTGGTGGATGGGCCTGGGCAGAAGACCCCCTTCTCTCTACCTCTTTCACTTTCTGCCCTGCTCCCTGTTCTCATCGCTCCCACGTGCCCCCCTCCCTTCCCAGTCCGCATGTTGGCCATCTCTGGGCCTCTAGCCTGCTGCCTCTTCATCTAGATGGCGCTCCTGGACATTTTCTTTTCCCTCACCAAGTGTTTCTCCTTTGCTCAGCTCCGTGGGTTCTTGCCTTCATCTCCGTCCTCTGCCCAGGGTAAGGCTGTCATCACGTGAGAAGCCACCTTTGCCTGATTTGTCTCCACCAGCATCCCTTTTTCCTCAGTGGGCCCTAACCCAACAACCTCCAGCTTTTGGTGGGAAGAGAGGTCCTCCGAAATGGTTCTTCCCCCACATTTAAAGGGATTCAAGGTGCCTGCCACTTCCTTGGTGAAGAAGTCTCTGTGCCACCCCCTCACCAGTCCAGACCTCTTCTCCTGGTCCCAGAGTGGCAGACGAGACCTGGCCCCCAGGCCTGGCTCTTGTCCCCTGGGTCAGTGCTAGCACAATCTGCCAAAGGTCGAAACTCCCTCCTCCCTCCCCCCATCACCTCACATGCTTCTTCTGTGTGTATTTCTTTTTGTTTTTATGGGGTTTTTTGGAGCAATTTAAACTTCCAGTTGTTTATTTTCACAAAAGAAAATAAAATTGCAGTTGCAAGACCTTTTCTGAGTATTTTAGTCCTTCTGTTGAATCAAGCCCCCATCTTCATACCAAGCCGTGTGCTGGATTTTTGTGGGGCCCGGGGAGGGGAGAATATGAAAACATGCCTGACGGAAAAATGCAACCCAACGTTCAGCCTCAAATGTACAGAGACCAGTCAGCATCAATAACTGAGATCCAAAGAGAGGAATCTTTATTTTCATTTATCTTATAATTGCCAAGATATAAGGGGGGCCTTTGTCATTTTGCATGGTACCTAACACCACCATTAATTTCTTGTCTAACAGCTTTATTGAGCTCTAATTCACATAACATGCGATTTACCCATTTGAAGTATACAATTCAGTGGGTTTTGTATGTTCAAACTTGTGCATCCATCATCACAGTCAATTTTAGGACATTTTCACTGCCTCAAAAAGGAACCGAAAACCCTTTAGAAGACATCCCTAATTCCTCCCCTCAACCCCCACAGTCCCAGGCGACCACAAATCTATTTTCTGTCTCTGGATTTGTCTACTCTGGACACGTCATTTTTTTTTTTTTTTTTTAAGCTTGTTTATTGAGAGAGAGAGAGAGCACAAGCCGGTGAGGCACAGAGAGAAGGAAAAACAGAATCCCAAGCAGGCTCCACGCCATCAACACAGAGCCCAATGTACAGCTCAAACTTGCAAACTGTGAGATCATGACCTGAGCCGAGATCAACAGTTCGATGCTTAACTGAGCCACCAAGGCACCCCTGCACATGTCATTTAAATGGGACCATACGGGGGGCTGGCTCAGTCAGAAGATCATGTGCCTCCTGATCTCAGGGACATGAGTTCAGGCCCCATGTTGGGTGTAGAGATCACTTAAATAAATAAAAGTTTTTAAAAAATAATAAATGGGATCATACAACACATGGTCCTTTTTCATTGACTTCTTTCAGCCTATGATTTTCAAGGGTCATCCATGTTGTAGCATGTCTCAGTACTTCATTCCCTTTTCTACTTGTGATGGTACAACATATGTAATATAAAATTTGCCATTTTAAGGGTGCCTGGGTGGCTCACGTAAGTTAAGCATCAACTCTTCATTTCAGCTCAGGTCATGATCTCACAGTTCATGGGTTTGAACCCCGCATCAGGTCCAGACTGACTGTGCCAGAGCCTGCTTGGGATTCTCCCTCTCTGCTCCTCCCCTGCTCACACACACACTCTCCCTCCCTCTCTCTTATAAAATAAACAAACATTTTAAAAATCTGTGGTTTTGTATTTAAAAAATTTTTTAATTAAAAAAAAATTTGCCATTTTAACTATTTGTAAATGTACTCAGTGGCACTCATTACATTCACAATGTTGTGTCACCACCAACACTATTTGCAAAACTTCATCACCCCAAACAGAATCTACATAACCATTAAGCAATAACCTCCCTCCATCCCACTGCCCCCCCCCACCCCAGCCCCTGGTAAACTCTAATCTACTTTCCATCAAATTTCCTTGAATTTGCCTATTCCAAATAGTCTATGTAAGTGGAATCATCAAACATTCGTCCTTTTGTGCCTGGCTTATTCGACTTAAATCAATGTTCTCCAGGCCATCCACTTTGTAGCATGTATCCAAATATGTTTCCTTTTTTATTTATTTTTTTTTTTTTGAGCTTTGCTAAAATACTTCAGTCTTCCTTTACCTTTTTGAGTACTTGCCAGGTTTTTTTTTGTTTTGTTTTGTTTTGTTTTTTTGTTTTGTTTTACCCTACTCAGACATAGCTTTTTTTTTTATTATAAATGTATATAATATAAAATTTACCATTTTAACTTAAAAAAAAATTTAATGTTTATTTTTGAGAGAGAGAGACAGAGCATGAGCGGGGAAGGGGCAGAAAGAGAAGGAGACACAGACTACGAAGCAGGCTCTAGGTTCTGAGCTGTTAGCACACACAGAGCCCGACGCAGGGGTCAACCCAAGAACTGTGAGATCATGACCCGAGCCGAAATCAAGAGTTAGACACCTAACCAACTGAGCCACCCAGGCGCCCCTTTTTTAACTTTTTAAATGGACAATTTAATGGTGTTAAGTACATTCACAACATCATGCACCATAACCACTGTCAATTTCCAGAACTATTTCATCATCCAAAACACAAACTACTCATTAAACACTAACTCCCCCTGACCCCCAGACTTCACGAACCTCTAATCTACTTTCTATTTATGAATTTTCCTATTCTCAGTTATCTCCTATAAATAGAATCCTACAATATTTTTGTCCTTTTGTGTCTGGCTTATTTCACTTAGCACAATGCTTTCAAGATTCATCTACATTGTGGCACATATCAAAATTTGATTCCCTTTTACAGCTGAATAATCCATTATGTATACAAGCCATTGTTTATCCGCTCATCTATTGATGAGTACATGGAGTTTTTTTATACCTTTTGGCTATTGTGAACTGCTTTGAACATATGAGTATGTTTGAGTCCCTGTGTTCAGTTCTTTAGGGTGTATATCTAGGAGTGGAATGGCTGGGTCATACGGTTAACTCTGTGTCAACTTTTTGAGGAATTGCCAAACTGTTTTCCATAGCAGCTGCACCATTTTACATTCCAACCAGCAATATATGAGGGTCCAATTTCTCCACATCCTTACCAGCACAGTTTTTCTTTCTTTGTTTGTTTGTTATAGCTATCCTGGTAGGTATGAAGTGGCATTTCAGTGTGATTTTGATATGTATGTAATACTAATAATGTTGAGCATCTCTTCACATGCTTATTAGACAGTTTTCCCAGACTATTCTATTTGTTGAAAAGACTTCTGTCTTAGCACACCCTTATTGGAAATCAGCTGACCATAAATGTAGAGGCTGATTTCTGGACTCTATTGACTTCTATCCAACTCATCTATATGTCTTTATGCCAGTACCACACTGTCCTGATTACTGTAGCTCTGTAGTAAGTTTTATTTTTTTAACAATGTTTATTTTTGAGGGGGGGAGGGGTAGATTACTTACTTAAAAACTTTTTTAAAAAATCTTTAAAAAAAAAAAAGGTTCATTTATCAATTCACTTCTTTTAGCCAGAACAGTCACATTTCTGAAATAATTTGGTAAAAGATTTCTCACTTCTCTGTGATTCTTATTCTCTCCTCAGTAATGAGTGTGTGAGAGAGAGATTTCTTACAACAGGAAAACATTGAGAAGCATGTTAAAGAGTTTTTAAATAACAAAGTACTTGGTCCTGAAAACTATATTTATGCCACGTACTGTTCCTTGAAATTCTGAAGACTTTCAACTGACTAGAACTACATGGCATATAACCTAAAGATTGTACTCAACAGACTATTACAGTGTTATTTCCCCTGGTGGTTGTAGTATTTTTTGGTAGGATTACATTTCAACCTTAGTTAACTGGAATATTTTCTGATGTACTTTTGTGTCTCACAAAGACTTATGTCCTGGACATCATTTACTCCTAATCTGGCTCTACTCCAGCCTCATCACCTGCCATTTTCCTTATTGTCTGTTATCTGGCAATCCTGTCCTCGTCTTTAAGACTTACACGAAATGTCATGTTCCCACCTGCCTCCAGACCTTTGCACACACTGTACACTCAGCCAGGAGAGCTCACCTTTTCCCCTCAACTTCACCTGGGAAATACACTCTTTGGCTCTCAGCCCAAAAGTCCCTTTCTCAACAGAGATCACAGTTTCGGCACTTTGCTTTCTTGGCATTTCTTAGAATGCATACTCACACACACACAATTTCCATAAATAATTAATATTTGTATTCTCCACTAGATTACATGCTCCATTAAGTTAGCTCGCCTGGCAAATGTTTATAAAAGGATTTCAAGCGGTAATTAATGTATAAACAACAGCACTTTAAACAGTGGGATACAACTATTTACCCAATAATATCAACTTGGAGGAAAATGGATATGCATAGAAAAAAATACACCAATTAAGACAGAAAAGAAAATGAATGCTTTTGTATTTGTTTAAAAAAAACTCACGCTAGATGGGAACACAACAAAGGTAAGTGGTAACCTGTAGAATGGTAGGGAGCAAAAACTTTCTAATGTATACCTCTTTTTTTTTTGTATACCTCTTTTTTAATATCCCATTTTGATTTCTGAACCATTAGAATATATTACCTAATCAAAAATATTAAATGTTTGCAAGACAGAAAATACACTAAAACTTTAATAGTGATTATCCTGGAAGAGTGGGACAACGATTTTGTTTTCTATTTCTACAGGTTCACTAAATTTTCTACAGTGAATATGAGTAATTTCCATGACCAGAAAAAGCATGTATTTTTTGGAAAAGATCTCTGGGGACCTCGGAGAGCAGTTTCTGTGGGGTCGGGAAAGAGAGGAGCTGGGATGGGAAGACTCCCGCTACAAAGGTGGCAGGATGGGTGTCTGTTTCCAGATAGGAGACACCAGAGTACAGCACGTTTGTGTGCTACAGCGAAAGAACCACGAGAAAGGGAGAAGTTCAAAATGTGAACACAGGTTGGAGCCAAGAGGGGCCGAACCCCAGTGACGTCACTCCCATGGGATCACCCGCGGACCAGGGAGCTCCTGTTCGACCTGTATCGTCTCGGAAGTACAAGGGGAGAGAAGAAAAGGAGAGTGATGTTTGTAGCGGCTGCTATGCAGAGAAGAAACCTGGAAAAGGAGGAGACTGTTAGATGCCTGCACTGAAGAATTGGACCACAGCACAGAGTAAGAGAGGAACCACCAGACGCTCAGGCCTTTTCGTAAGCTCCTCCCTTCGCCTGAGCGTGCGGCGGAAGACGCACGCAGGAAGGGGCGGAGCCAAGGGCACTAAGAGCGCGCACGCGCGGGTCTCGCGAGAGCAGTAGAGGGCGGAAGCACAGTTAGTGCAGGATGCGGTTCCTGGTTGCGTTGATCGTGCTGAGCGTCGTAGTGGCGGGTAAGACCCCCCCCCCAACTCCCACCCCAAATAATCCCACTCTCACCCCTAGGCCCACCATCCTCACCGCCCCGGGTCGCTCTCTGAGCTCGCTACTTCCCTGCCGTAGTCACTCCTCCGCTTGCTATCACCCACCTCCCCCGTTTGCCAGTTGCCTCGGTTTCATCTAGCTTTGAGGGCTCCCTTCTCTTGGCCTCCCTCTCTTCAGGGCCAACTGGTTTCTCTGTTTCAGTAGACCTACCGCTAGAAAACTCTAGCCAGTCGCAGCCTCAGGCTACGGGAGACGGCTCTAGCAAGGGGAAGTCCCAGGTGCAGTCCACAGAAGATGACTCTAACAAGGAGAAGCCCCAGCTTCAGTCCACGGGAGTTAACTCTAACAAGAAGTCTCAACTGCAGTCCTCGGGAGACGGCTCTAGCAAGGTGAATCCACAGCCACAGTCCACGGGAGACGGCTCTAGCAAGGTGGATCCCCA